GCCATATTTGTGGGAAAAATAGGTCTTTCAAAGAGTAAAATCTTTGACATACTAAACTGCCGTAAGTATTTTGATAGTAGAAACCACAAGAAATTTCACATCTCACAACCCTGTGAAAATAACAGCACCACAGAGGGAGCACCTGCATCACAAAGACCTTGCCCTATCTCATCCTCTAAATGTATTCTTGCTACCATGTGTCTTTCAATTACATGGGCTTGAGACTGATTCACCATTTGAAAGGGAATCTCTCAGTCATCCCCACTTTCTCTGCTTTGGCTCGCGCTGCCAACTGGTCTGAGAGCGTGCAAACTGGAATCCTTTGGAAAGAAATTCACCCAGAAGGCACACTCTGCAATGCTCCCCTATCTGTGTCGTGGTTTAGCCCCGGCCAGCAACTCAGCACCACGCAGCCGCTCGCTCACTCCCCCTGCCCCGGTAGGATGAGGGAGAGAATCGGAGGAGTAAGAGTGAGAAACACTCCTGGGTTGAGATAAGAACAGTTTAATAGTTGAAATAAAGTAAAATAGTAATGATAATAATAGCAATATAATAATGACAATAATAATAATAATATACAAAGCAAGTGATGCACAGTGCAATTGCTCACCACCCACCGACCGGTACCCAGACAGTTCCCGAGCAGCGATCGCTGCTCCCCGGCCAACCCCCCCCAGTTTCTATACTGAGCATGACGTCATATGGTATGGAATAGCCCTTTGGCCAGTTTGGATCAACTATTCCGGCTGTGCCCCCTCCCAGTTTCTTGTGCCCCTGGCAGAGCATGGGAAGCTGAAAAGTCCTTGACTAGCATAAGCAGTACTCAGCAACAACTAAACCATCAGTGTGTTATCAACATTCTTCTCCTACTAAATCCAAACCACAGCACTATGCCTGCTGCTAGGAAGAAAATTAACTCTATCCCAGCTGAAACCAGGACAATCTGCTAAAAACCGCTCCAGCCATACTGTAAGACTAGCACTAGTCCAAAGTAAAACTCCTAAAGCATGCCCAGAAGGAATGCCACGTGGTCAGCATCAGCTCTTTTGCTGCACGGATCCGCTCCTCTTGTGCCATGGTACTGGCTGCTTCCACCATTCCCCTTGCCAGGGCAGCGCTCCACATCTCAGCGGAGCACTTTGTCAGTCACACAACTTGGGAGCTCCTCACCCTTCCTTCTGCAGAACACCAATAGTAAACTTCTCTTCTTCATTAGGTCTTGAAAGGCTTTGAAATCAGAGACTGTTTATTGTCTTTGATGCTAGCACTTCAAAAGATTACAAGCTATGGATTGGCGTTCCTTTTGAAACATCCTCCTCTAAATTTAACTGTGGTACGTTTAAGATCAGATGTTGCAAACGACAGTACTTCCTACACGAACACCATGGCTGCACAGGGCTATCTTTTGGCAACAGGCACAGTTGTGTGCATCCCCTCAGAAATGCAACCAAATATTATCTTAATATCTCGTTTACTGACCCAGAATACAAGTGTCTTGTCCAGAACAGTTTCAAACTTTAGATGTTTGTGTCTCCTATTTTTTTTCCAGTTGCAAAACATAACAAAAGTTTAAAGAGACACTTAGGAGAGCTGATGCTTGCAAACAGATCCATCTGCAATGCTTTACTTTAAAAATGCATTTGCTTTTCAACTTGTAACAGAGTAGGGTTCGGGATTTGGTGTGATTTTGGTTTTGTTGTTATTTTTGACTACTGCATAATCATGTCAGGGTCACTTGGTTTTCAGAATCCTTATCTTCTGACTAAATACAATTTTTTAATAGCACTACTATGATGCAGGAAATGTTTTCAAATCACTGTTTTACATATTTTGCCTTTCCAATCTCAAACAGCTCCACAGTCAAGGAAGAATTGATTCTCATTGAAATTACAAAGCAGTAAGAGTTTAAAACTCTAGAAGACAAGTAATTCCTCGGTGTCCAGCTGCTCAAAAGGAGGATTGTCATTGTGGATTTTTCTACATTATCATATTCAAAATATTCTGCTTTCAAAGAAAAAAACAAAACGGTCAAAATGTGTGAAATATGAAAATAAATTGCCAGTTTCTTCAAATAGCAACAAAAGCATTAAATTTCAATCCCTTGTTAGTTACTTGTAAGTGTATGCCGCAATTTGTATTTTTCTGTTACGTATTTTATTATAGTCCACCTGACAGGTAATAAAATGGAAGAAAATATAGTTCAAAGCAATTTCTAGTACTATTAATCAAGAGAGGTAAACTCACAATAATGAAGTAAAGCAATGAAGGACAAAGGCTTTGTCACATACTCTGTTGCTTTCAGATTAGTATTTTTCATTCAGAGGACTTGTGCGGTTATATTTTCTTTCTTGTAATAGAGACTTATTTTTAAATTTTATGCTTGAATTTCTAAAAGTAACTTTATTCAGCCAAGGTAGGAATCCACTGTAGAATACATGAACAGCCATTCCCAACATGACAGATTTCAAAGTGCAAGTAAATCTCAGAAATGAAGCGCTACGAGTTTTATTCACACAGCAAGTGACAATGTCTGCATGAGTAGGGGTAGGCCGTAACAGAAATGTTTCTACTGAATCATAAATTACAATTTGTGGGCCTTGGCTGGGAAACACCACCTGCATTCAAGCGCATTGACCAACTCATTCTTCTCCCGGCTGTTTTACGTAGGGATGCAAACCTCATTGCAGGTCTGAAACCATTTCACTTCTATTAAAAGGATCCATGATGTCCATTAAGGCACCTCCAAACTAGAGGACAGTTACCACTTGCAAGAACAGTTCAAAACCCTAAGGTCAAGTTTCTTTAACCATCTAATACAATCAATGGACTTCCACACATGAGCTGTGGTGCTGCCAGGAGCAAAACCGAGAGGAGAAACCCAGCCCACAGGTGTTCGTAACTCCTTGGTGCTTGGGCCCAGAACCACCACCGCCCTGCAGGATCCAGGTGCAGAGCCTTTGTACAGGATGAATTTCTACAACTCCTTTGAATATATGATATCCAAAGGAGTAAGGGGTTTGGTAGTTTACACAAAGCAGTCCCTAAATAAATTAAGGGATAATTAAAGGAAGGGAAAAGGAGCAGTGAATCCTGGCAGATCCTCTTCTAACAAAAAATGACACATTTTATTTTTAAAGCCTGGTGTTCCACCAGCCCTGTGCAAGTTATGTACCCTTAAAGGTACCCTCTACATATAAGAAGTCACCAGTTAATGGTTAGTCCAAAATATTAACACTAATCGAATAGTCTTTAGTCCAGTTACAATATTAATAGCCTAAATCAGTCAGCTATTGTAGAGAAAATAAAACCTCTAATGTAACACAACTAGCAAATGTTACATACTCACACACTCCCTTGTATCCACCCCTTTCTCTGGGATTGGCAGCACCCTCTTCCACACAGCAAACGGGCAGGGTCCCACGTCATTCATCAGGAGTAGTAGGATGCTGATGGTGGAGATTGTTCCTTCTTCTCTCTAGTGTCTGCCTGGGGTAATATTACACATTTCCGAAAATGTTCTACTCACTGTTCTTTCTTCATCAGTCTGGCAGTTCCACATTACAGCCAAATAATTTTATCTAGCGTGGTTTACTCACGTTGCGTATTTGTTCTTTCTTCTGTCTAAAACCTTGTTTTGTACAACTCTTTAGGTTGTATTTCTTTAAGGATCAGCACTTGGCCATGCGTGACTTGTCTATATCCCTGGGGCCTCTGGCACCTAAGATCATAGATTAATTGATTCTACACAAAATAACTACTTATTACTTACTAGCCATTAGCTACAGAAATATATCAAAATCACTATAAACATAGGCAGTACACCACACAACTGTACAAAGCCTGACTGTCATTTGACAGTTGCTGTTATGGCTATAACAAAGCTCAAGGTAGGGCAAGATAAGCCCAGAAAAATCATGCTCAGTGAGTCTTCATGCTAAGGGCTTGCAGAGTTAATACAAGTTACTAGCAATGACAATACTGTGTTTATGTGGTTACAGGACTATACCAGTAGCCAGGTCACTCTCCAGGGAAGGCGTAATGTTGTCTTGAAACTCCTTAGGTATCAGATAAAATAAAATTCAGGCCTTCCAAATTCCACAGGAGAATACCCTAACAGCATGATATAAAATACCAGCTCTACTTAGAGCTTCCACCCACTGCACAGTGGCAGCTGCTTGACTGAATGCCGCTCGTGCATTAGGTGACTTAGGCTTTGGGCGAATGGGTGGAATTTAGGTGACCAAAAGCTGCATTCAGACGGCTGTTTAGCTTAGCAGGACACAGGAGGCTCCAGCCACGCTCAGACATTGAGGAAACTTTAAAACTGAAAAGGAATATACGCTAGTAAGTTTTTAGCTTCTTCAAGATGAGTCAGTTAGTAGAGCATCAGCTTTTTGGATCACCTTCTTACATACAGGTGTCTAAACTCTGCATATGTTCTATTTTAAGCACGAAAACCAGCTCTCTAAATTTAGTGTCAAGGTACACAAATTAGGAAGTTGATCTCCCTCAGCTCCTCATGTAGAAAAGAGACAGACGAACTCCTTCAGAGGGTAATTTTGATCATAAGAACTCCTACTTAATTACCATCCAAATACAGCTAAAAAGAAAACACCACAAACTTTTGCTTTGCAATTTATTTATTAAGAAGAACATATAAAAGTCACCACAAAATGGATAAAAATATTTAAACATTTTGAAGAAAACCAAAAAAGGTTAATCAGACAAAAATCACCTAATAATTGGGAAGGAACTTTCATTTCCCATCCTTCAACATGCCGTATAAAACAGTATCCTAAAGCAGTGAGAATAAGTACTGGATGCAATTACAGCTTCAGTATCTATCTTTCTTTTCTTCAGCCTATTCAAAGCACTAAACGCCTGTGTCTGCCAGGTAGTGAAGTGCATATTCCTTAGTATAGGGACAAATTCAGCTAAAGAAAGGAAAGAATTGAAGAAAGAAACAAACCAAACCAAAAAACCCCAAATAACACAGCTGCTTAGCCTTCAGTGAAGTATGCTTCCAGTCCCTCCAGTTCTGCATCAGTTGTTGTCTTTGACGAGGTGGGAGTGGAATTTGAATTCATGTTTTCCTGACTATTACTTTTTTGTTGAGAGTTTCCTGAATTGCCTAGTTCCTTCTTCAGTTCTCTACCACCACTTAATAGCCTTTGACTCTCTGTAAAATACTGATTAGGATGATTCAAAGAAAACCCAATGTCATCAACCTGCACATAAAAGGAAAGGAACAGTAAGTTATTATATTTATTTGAAAAAGTCATCTTTTTCACATTCAAGACCAAATTAATTAGCAATTCAGTAAGTTCTGATTTTGTTGAAGAAAGAGGCATCAGTTTGTAAATAATATCCCAGTAAATATTAGCATGACACAGACTTACTTTCATCACAAAATTTCTTCCTTCCTGTTAGAAATAAAATGACTGCTTTGGCATGTTCAAACAATATTTCACACTGTCTTGCTGTAGTAAAGAAAAATACCTCCCCCAAACATATAAAGCAATGTAAGTAAAATGACATACCTTTACAGATGTAGGACAATTGAACCTACACCTTAAAACAGTATTTCCCTACCCAAAAGAGGGACTGAGACAAGCCTAGAGTGCAAACGGCAGTAAAGAATACTACTAAAAGTTGTAACAACTGCACAATGTAAATCTGGGTCTTAAGTATCAGTGTGAAACTGAATGGAAACAGGTAGCTTCACCGCTTTCCCTGTTTTCTCCAGTAGCCACAAATGCAATATTTACAAGGCAGTAGGCTAAGACGCAAGCCCAATAGATCAAGTTTATCTCTGCTCCATCAGTGCCAACATCAGCATCCTGAAACTAGATGCACAACCAATACAAAAGAACATTTAGCCTTCAGTGGAAAAGAACACAGAAAACTAGCATAAGGTGCAGCATATTTTTATTGCTCCTTTCTACTTAGCAGACACATTCTTTCAGCTCTGTAACTATTTGATAAATGAACATTCAATTGATGCTCATCAAATATTTCAAATCAACAAAACTTTCAGTTTAAAAAGTAAGCTATTCTGACATATTCACCACAAATCTCAGTTATAACCTTTGTACCTCTTTTCAGGGGCTCCGAAGTTGGAAATGCTTACTTTAAAAGGTGCTCCTATTCAGGCAATCTCTACCTTTTATCTGCCTGTCAGTTCACGCGAATACTAAGAACATTTTGAGAAGAATACTGCTCTTAAATAATGTTGGAAAATTTCCTAAACCTGGCATACAATAAACCAAGAATGACTAAGAGCCATATACTGGTAATTTTCGGCTCCCAGCATCTTCCCTTTTCCCAGAGGGGTGGGGCCAATTCAAGCATAACAGGCAACTTTGCATACACACAGCATCTCATGAGGACATATACTGTGGCTGATTTAATATGCCCAAAACCATCAGTTTAAATTTCAACCACTTGTGAAAAATCATAAAGCAGAGAATCAATGTGCATTTTAAATGGAACCCTGATTCAACGCATTACCACCGCCTAGCTTAGCTCCATCAGAAAATGGTGACGTGTATAACAAAATCTAATTCAGACATGAAGATGATATCAGCAACTGTAGTAAGTGACCTTGCTTGAAAAATCTAAAAAATAAGTGACAGGCCTAGCACACTAATTTGGCACTCAAAATAAAAGGCACAAAGCAAAGAAAAAAACCCCAAACCCTGAAGCCACCACTGAATTTCATTTCAGTCTTATCTGGATGAGTTTCATCCAGCCAGCTTTCATCCATGCACCAATTTCCATTATGTGGGAACTAAATTACTTCTTTACACCAAAAAGGCTTAAGAAGAAGCAATACAGTGAAAAGCTGGCTTTCCTAGAAGCAGCTCGTAATTAGTTCTATTTTTTTAACCTTAACATCTCAGTGTTCTTCAGACCAATTTAAGATTCACTTTGTAATTCTTAATTTTGTTCTAAACTCTTCTCTCTGTAACAAATTGGAACAAGCTGCAGAAATAGCTCAATGTATGAATGGAGCGTGTTTTCAGAGGTGATTGACAGTATCTGGCTAAAAGCTATTTACGGGTTGTTACTTAAAACTGTAGTATGACCCCATGTACCCTATTTTAATTAAAAGAATTCTGCCCATTCATTTTATCACCTTTTTTTGAGAGCCTGAAGAGAGAAAGGGGAAGTTTTGTTCACCATCATCATCTTCATTTGTGATACAGTGATACATAAACAATTCTGTGTAATTTTCAACAAGGTTCTCTGAATAAAAATAGTCACAGTAATGAGGAATCCCTTTCACGGTCACAATAGTGTCAAGATTTTATTTTACTTTAGTTGATAGAATTGGATGGCAACTCAGAATAGAGTTTCTTTCTGGCTGGAAATACACAAGACATTTGACCACAAAAATGGAGGTTGAAGCATACACAAATTTCCTGGCTTTTTTATGTTAGACTGCTAAAGTTACTTTATGTAAGTTTTACAACGCTTTTAGGTAATACAGATCAAAGCATATCAATTTTAAAAGCTGCATCATTAACTTAGCTGTAAGTTACCTGAAACTTACTACCAGAAATAGAGAAACTAGATTTCTCTAACAGCTTGATGCATTCACACCTGTAAAGCCATCTGGAATCTGCTATGCCCAAAGAAAAATGTATTTTCTGTGCAGTCAAAAATTTAAGCTCATAACATGTATTCATCCAAGTGAAAAGTCTTGTCACTTCAGACAGAACTGTTTATTCCATCTGGTAGATGATACTAACACGACTTTTTTTGGATTCAACACATTTTGCACATATTGGCCTTCACACAAACTCTAGTTTTGTATTTCTGCTACAGCAAATATTGTTTTGAAAAACCCGAAGCAATAATTTTGTAGCTACAGTGTCTTTGGGTTTTAACCAAGAACTTTCACAATGACAGCCTATAATGCTACAATTGATATTACAGAAAAAACATGTGGAGAAATCATGGTGCTACACTAGATGATATGAATTAACCACATGCTTTAAAAAAAAAAAAAAAAAAAAAAAAGTCCAGTGTTCTTGTGATTTGATCACAAAGAACTAAGAAAAATGGGGTTTGCATATGGTTTAAAATAAGCTATTCAAAAGTGATTCTTCTGTACCATAGTTTGCTATGTGCCAGATTTCATTTACTTCTTAAAAATACACTAGGATTGTAAAATATCAGTATGCAAGAATAACATGTTTAGAGATAAATACTAATATACAAATAATCAGCCATTACAGCTGTAACTGCAACAAGTAACTAATAGAGGAAATATTCATGCAAACAACATTAACATCGTTAGTTCCTTTGGAATATAACTTACTAACACAGGCATTAGCCAGTTAGGCTTTCTTATTTATTCATAATACTAAGGCTCTTAAAACAGTAGATTTATACAGTGGGTTTATACACAATCAGATTTCAGAGCACTAATTATTTCTATAGGCAAGCTGTCACAAGAACATTTATTTAACCTACTAGTTAACTAATTTACTAGTTTAATCTATCATAGCTGGTATCATCAATCTCTTTTACTTGACTGCATATACATAGCCAAGATTTCCAAACTGTTGGTCTGGAAATATTTTTCTCTATTCTGAGTTGCCATCCAATTCTATCAACTAAAGAAAGATAAAATCTTGATGCTATTGTGACCATGAAAGGCATTCCTCATTATCGTGACTATTTACTTTGCGTTATGGTTACACTGCTTACATTTTCAGGGTGTGTCATTTCCACTTTACATAAGTTGCCTTGTGTCCTCACTTTAGTACAAAATAAAAACTTACCTAAAAAGGATAATCAACATGAAATAGCTTATTATGACCTCAAGTACAAATATTAGAACTTCAAACAGTTATTATGCTTTCCATACAGCTTAAAATCAAAATTTGACCATCAAGAAAGATACTTCAGTATTTTGGTAGTGTTTGATTGAATGTTTACTCTAGTTACCATATAAACATAGCTTATTCTTGATTCTTATTAAAATGTGATAATGTTTGAAAATATCTACCCTACAGGCCATTCAGTCATACTTCTATCAAGTCAAAAGACCTTATTTTCTTCACATATGTAGGACAGCTTGTCTTGATCAAATTATGGTTTTGTTGTTTAGAAAATAACTTTCCCAAAAAGGAGTTTGCCCTGATATCCTAGAACTTGAAAAATATGGTAAAACCATTCATGCATTACCGGTAGTGCCTTCCTTTTCCACACTTATTGAAAGACTTAACAAATTGCATACACATACTTAATGAATTGCATACACATACATTTCCGCAACACATTAGCTCCTGCCTGAAGACAATGTGCTGGACCACACAAATGATGGTTACTTTTGTTCTGCGGTTGTGAGATAGCAAAATGAAAGTTCAGGAGAGGTGTAACATTAAAGTCAGTAAGCCCAGTTTATATGGAATATGCAGAGAAGCAGCTTTTAGGTAACCTATTTGAACCAGCAGGACTGAGGTGCAAAGACACCTTCCCCCCCAAAAATAGTGCTGAACATTCTCACTTTAGTCCCTCTGGATTTACCAGTGTAGGCTTAGTGCCAAGCTCTAGACTACTGAAGCCAACAGCAAAGCTGCTGCCAGTATGAATATAAGACACAGCAGAAACTTCAGACGGGATGATGGGGAGGAAACCTAAAGAGAGTCCTTAAGTAGACATAGTGTGCAACTGACCCTGTGAACTTAGAAAAAGAAAAATACCATAATCTTAAACAAGTCTCCACTACAAAGTCATTCATAGTAGATCTAACCCGCATATGCACTGTAACTTTCAAGAATTATAGCTAACACTAAAAGCTCTGTCCAACATATATCAAACACCTCGTCGGTAAAATTTCTACATAAGTGAAGCTGAAATTGTCCATGTGAGAGTCTATTATTTCTAGGAAAATTTTACTTAAGATTGTTCACCTATTTGAAGAAACAATAACAATCAATGTTATGCTGATTGATTCTTCAATAATTTCCTTCACTGAAAAGCTCTGCTAGGGATATACATGAAAGCAAGGATTTGGTTGTCTCATTAGGTGTTGCCATCTTCAGAGACATATCTTTTGACCTCCCCATGAAAAAAAAAAATATTACTAAAGCATATAGCTGTAGGACAGAAAAATCATTCTGAGCAGGCTAGTAATAAGTTTAGCAGATAAATTCTCTAAAAAATTTCCCTCATAAGCATGTTTCAAACTACAGAAAGTGACTTTCTGTGCATTCTGCTTTCTCTCATTGAAGAGACTGATCAACAGCAAGGCAGAAAGATGACTCAGTGCAAGCAGCAAGGACAGATATTTATATTGCAAAAAGACTGAAAAAAATAAGACTCTTGTTTTTTTTTTTAAGATATATCTCAAAATACCAAACTTGCATAATGGGTTAAAAAACACAATTTGTTTAAAAACAGGTTATTGAAAAAGCTGAATGGCTTGAAATAGACAAAAATTCAATAATATTGATATTTTCAGGAAGAAAGCATAACCTTTTACTGTATCTTGTAATGTTGTTCAGGGTATTAATAAAATCAATATATAAATGCAAAAAAATTACAAAAGAATATTTGAAATTATTGAAATGAAAACTAACAAGGCAAGACAGCTAATGATGGATGTGAAAACTGCTAACAGTCTCTGGACTTCATGCATGATTTCCAAGGCCTTCCTGAAGATGGTGATTATAGTATAACAAAAATTAGTCGCTACTTACATTGTGCGTCAACTCAAAGTACTTCTGACAGGCCAGCTGGTAATGCATGCCCTTCACCAATTCCAGGATCTATACAGAGGGAGAAAAACATAAGGGATTCAGAAGTAGCACATGTACGTCCTGTTGATACTTACCATGACAAGGTACTTCACAACAGCCTTGTATTATTATACATATATAGCTCATGGAAATTTGCAGCGCATGGTATCTTTGACATGTGTGTATCCTCCTAATAACTGACAACATTTAGACATACTATAGTTCTTTAAAAATACCCTGGCTACATTACAAACAAGATAAAACCACAGGAAGATATGCCTGCCTTGAAACATAATTTCAATACTCTTAACTTCAAGAGTAAGTTGAATCTATATTTTGGTAATATAATTGTGACAGTTATTGTCAAACTATCATATTGCAACATCTCTTCCATAACTGCAGACATAAATCTAGTAATTCAAGTGGTTGAAGCATGAAGCAATCAAGGACACAATTTGTATTTTTATTTTCCACATTACCAGTTCATGCAGATGCAGAATAAAATACTACTGTGCTCCCATCAAGAAAATTTAATGCAAATCCTTTAGACAAGTATCTGTGAGAGGGGAATGCTTTTACCTTCAATCAGATTTGTCCTTTTTGAAACGAAGTTATTTCTAGTCAAGCTCAGCAGAATAAGTGAGTGAATAGCCTGTTTTGAACACCTATTAGGAAAATCATGGCATCTTCTGTAAATACAATTTGCTTCCCAATTCTACTTCAGGTAATCTCTTCTGTGCTGCATAAAGTCCCATTCTTATCACCAGAATGCAATGCTGGTTGAAATTTTTTAAAGTTTCATCACCTCCTCCCTCCTTTATATAATCAAAATGTATGCTCCCTGTGCTTATCAAACAGAGAAAATTGCTGGAATTAAGAGATAGCCTCAGTGGAAGGAAAAATAGTTTTCAAGAAATGTTAATTTCAAGCCCTTCCCAAGGTTGACCTTTGTGTCACAGCAAAGGGAAATGCAGCAATACACTCCAGCTTAAATCCCTGTTGTACTCATTATTGGATGCCGCCTTGTATTTACTGACAGATGTATAAATAAATTACATTTGCTGAATGGATAAAAACAACAACACACTGCCAAGAAAGTACTTAGCTGCATTGTTTCTCTGTAATAGCCCAACTGATTACATTTCTATCCCTCTTGCCACCTCCTGTTAAATCTTCTGTAATAGATCAAGGCCAAGGCCAACTAGGCAATGAAGTCTGAAATCTGGCATTATCTGTGTACATAATTTTTTTTTTACCTCCTCCCTCCTTTGAAATTGACTGCAAAAATTAGTGTCACATTAAGTAGTTAAGGATTGAAGAAAACTCATCTATTCTAAATACTTCAGTTACATATTGCCTTATGTTTTCCTGTTTGTTCCTCACAATAAAATCTATGCCATGCAAAAGAGCTATCTCTATTTTTAAGTAAATGCTAACCACGTTGTATATGTAGTTTTGTAAAAAGTATTTTTCACATAATTTGGAGTAATGATCAGAAGACCTATGAGTCTGTTGGTTAGTTGAAAGAAACATTCATACTGTTCTGCAGCATTCAGACTGTTCTCAACCTGAATTTTCCAGCTGAAAAAAGTCAACTAATTTAATCTAGTCCAGAAATACTTTAGGTTTCTCAAAATTATTCTTCATTTAATCAAGATTACACCTAATATAAATTATATAAATAAAAAGTTCTCTAAATTCAGGTGTAAATATACTTTAAGTCTCAGAACCTTAAGTGAGCAAACAAAAACTTAATATGAACAAATTCTGAGTATAAACCCTGAAAGTTTAAAAGCATCGAGGTTCTCTTGTAATTTAAGAGAACTTTTTGAAAAAGCTGATCAGTTAAAAGGCTAGTAGTCATTCTGCGGTTTAACTTTTGAATCGCAGACCACAGTTATAGCTGCTTCTTGTATCAATGATGCCATTATCCAACTATCCTGGAAAGCAGAAAAGACAAGGATTATCAAAGCTAGCCTTTGATTTACTAACTCATAATGATTCACAGGATGTGAGATTAAGCTGCTGTTGTCTTGACAGTTCAGCAGAAAAATGGTAACTTCAAGTGACAGATATCAGAAAAGGGATCACAGACGGACACAGTCACAGAGGATGACAGAATATAGGGGCACTTACAAATAAATTCCAGTTTTGTAAGAGAAATTATTCTGAGCAAACTATTCTGAAACCATGCCCACTTAAGCTCTTGACCCGTCCTTGGGAAAATCTTGACCCACCTGTAAGGTCAAGAAGAGGACTTAATTGAATCAATGCTGCTGACATATGACAGCTATAATAGTCATGTTGTACAGAGCTGGCCTTCAGGGACTTTAAATTCTTAAAGAGCAACCATGTTATTTAGCAGCAGCTTGATCTTTATTGCCCAGCTACACCGCAGTTTCTCCAAGGAACTACTGTCCCACTCCCTCTAGACTGCTTCTCAGACCTCTCAAAGGCTGCTGTTAGGTCACCACAGTCACCACACAGATTTTTCTGCTGTACTACTATGAAGACACATATCTTGGAGAACAGTTGGTAGAGGTTCCTCTACCAGCATTCTCTAGTGAAGTTTGTTAACTAGGTCTTCATGGCACTTCTTTTCCCTGACATTGACAGAGTGCTCCTTGGAACAGAATGCCCACCAGAACAGACCAGAGACTTTCATCCAGTTTGTCAAATCTATTAATGTACATGATTGCACTGGTAGTCATCATCTTGCTCCTGCTCCTTTACCCTCTCCACATCACCTCCCCAACTTTGACTGGTTGGCCAATTTCAGACAAATTTGACAGGTAGAGATGACAAAGCTACACAATTCCTACATGTTGATTACAAGTTGTGGTTTGGTAGAAAAGCCAGACCAACATTTGTGGCTCATTCAGGGAAAAGCAGTTATAACTCAGCTCCTACCCATTCTGAGAGGCAGCCAGAAAGCAGCCAAACTAGCACATACGTAACTATGAACTGGCCACATCATTGGGAACCAGATTCATCTTCTGCATATATGATGGGGTTGAGGAGTAAGGGCCACATTAAACATATCCAAAGAAGAGCAGGTTTAGTAGATTAACTGGCTTTAATAGAGAGCAAGTTGCTAAGAGGAGAGACAAAAAAAGGTTACAAATTGCAACAGAACGGAGTCCAGCTAGAAAGGAGTCCTCTGTGTGACAGAAATTAACAATTCTCTATTTAAACAAAACAGAATTATAATTCATAATAAATATTATCTTTCCTACTACATTTGTGCACATAATGAAAGCAAGCTTGCAGCTGTTTTTCACTAGTGTTACCCAGAAATAGACCTCCACTCAAAACTACCTTAATTCACAGCAGCAATCTTTTGCCTCTACATATATTAAGACATTTACACTAAATTGCTTTATTTGCAAGTAAAGGTACATACTCAGGGACTCTTTTTGTTAGTTCTTATGTGCCTTTTCTTTCACTGCCATCTGCGACTTGCTTTTCTGATGTTGCTTTACTGACTACTAATGAGGTTAAGATGATGTTTGGCAGCTGTATGCAGCCACCTGCTTTATAGATCCTGAGCATTCAAAGCTAAGACGCTGCAGAACAGCATAGTTTGGGCCCTGTAATTATCCATTGTTATTTTCATTTACTCAAAGTCAGTTTGTTTTCTTTGAAAACTGCAGAAGTAACTTATGTTTTCAAAATGGAAATCTTTCTACCGTGGATTCATTTAAGTATGACTCATTTCTAACTTTCTTTTTTATTTCAGAGGTGACTGAAGCTATGATTGGGTGCAACTGCTGGAGTGTATCTGAACACATTCCAGTTTTCTTCTGTTTCAAGTCAGTTTGTGACCACCTGAGCATTAAGTCCTGCACCAGGACTCCCCAATGCCCTTTGCTTTCTGGTCAGTACAGGCATCTGTCCTTTTTGTTGCTTTTGGATATTCCCTTTATATTTTAAACTGCTTTTGAAGGCTTCATGTTTATCATGTATATTACAATTTTCTCAGATTTACGCTCTGTTTTCCCTCAGGGACTCACTTACAGGCTAGAAAATCAGTGTTACAGCTTTGCCAGAGTTCCTGTTCCTTTTATACTCTTTGACTTGTCTTTTGTAGTGAAGACTACTTGATTGCACAGTGTTCAGCTTTGCACATGGTAATATTTAGGGCACCAGAGCAGATCATTTCCTCCCCTGCAATTTGCATCACAACTGTCAAACAAAAAGACCTAATTGTATTCTAGCACGCTTTATAAAGGTAAAGAAAGAGGCAGTCATGATCCAGAAGAAGGTATTTTATTAATGTCTCTTAAAAATACCTGTATTTTTTCCTCCATTTTAAATGTACAGGTTTTCTAGCCTGAAGCTCTTATTTTACGTATATCAGTAAGGAACTCATTAAATACTTAACAAAAGAGTAAGTGAATGTCTGAATTAAAAGAATATGTCAATATGTGAATATGTGCCCATATTTGCTGCAGCAACCCCTGGGCAGCTTATTAAATGAAGACAGACATTAATTTAAACTGAGTTAATAATTTTAAAAGGAAACAGCTCTAACACTAGTTGGTTTTGTTTGCTTGGTTGTGGGCTATTTTTCAAAGTTTTATACAGTCATCTGCTGAAAGTGAATGGTGGGAACATCAAACACAGGAAGAGTTAATGCACCTGAGTATTCCATTTCTCTGATTTCACACAGTTTTAAAATAACGCTATAAAAATGTACATTTTACGATTAGAAATTTTTTGGCTACTTTTCAGTGACACATTGTCATTTCAGTGACAAATCCTGCATAAGTTTACAGCCACCTGTTTTAAAAGACAGTCATGCCTGCTTTTAGATATGATAGATAATTCACATTCCTCTGCCGCAATGCTGAGTCAAGGCCTGGACTGTTACTGAGTATGAAAGCAAGCATCTGAAATACTTCAAAATAAAAAAAGAAAAGTTACAAAGTAAAAAAAATTAAAGTATTTGCTTCAAGTACATTTTAAGTTTGCAATATAACAGTTTCAAGAACAATGAGCTGAAACATTTTTATTTCATATGTTCATTC